GATTAGGTCACCAATAGGAAGATCCCAGGCAAGAAAATCCTAATTGCTTCATGGCAATATAGACATTAATTAAAAAATAGTGAAATGAATCTTGCAAACACTGAATTAAACTCTATAAATAATATTATGTTAAAATAGTGGATGTTAAATAGGTTTGTACCATAAGCCCAAACAAGTTTAACCAAAAAATATTTATTTCTCACAATTATGAAGGCTGGAGGGTTAGGGTTAGGGTTAGGGTTACGGTCAGGGTCAGGGTTAGGTTTAGGGTCAGGGTCAGGTTTAGGGTTAGGACATCGTTTGTCTTCCGATTTCGTATAGACAGTAAAGTTTCCTTTCCACCTCAGAAGGCTGCAAGTCACATGACCTAATCAAAATGGCCGACTTGGATGTGGGAGGAGTTGGACATCCCAACCGAGGCTCCTACAGGCTGCAGCCAGAGGAGAATATCTATCATTTAACAAGAAAGGGCAGAAGCAAACAACACAATGTGTCGGATGGTTTCTCACCGATGAGGATCTGGCCACACTTTGTGGCGGGGCTGTTTGGTATCAGCCCGTGGACGGTCAGCCTTTCCTCTCCCCTGACCAGTGGCCGATGCACCACCCCCAGCAGGGCCTCCAGCAGCCCCCCGCCATCACCCAGAGGTCCGGCCGACCCCGCTAGGCGTTTTGGGTTGAGGTAGACGCACACTTCCTTCGACTGGTGTGGCCGGACCGTCTCTCCCTGCTTCTGGCCCGGCTGGTTCTTCAAGATGGAGGCCGGCTTATTCCGGCCCCCCCCGTCCTTCCCCCCCCGGCGCTGGGAGGAGCGGCGTCTCCTCCTCAGCATCCTCGCCAGCCGTTTGAGAGCGGGCTCCCCTTTGGCCCGCGAGCTGCATCTCTGCTTCCTGTTCTGCTCGGTGATGATTTCCGCCTCCTTTTCGCTGAAGCGGACGTGGTTGGTGGACACGCACTGGACGGCGGAGGTCTGGGCCAGAGACACCTCCTCCTCACCCTCACTCAGCTCCAGGTAGAAAAGCTCCCCGTTCTTCTGAATGTCGTCCAGCCACTCGGGCTCCAAATCGCTGCGAGGCGACAAAACATTAAACACAGTCAATATATACATTAAAATATGAACAGGATCAATGTTTCCAAGGATAAGATAAAAAGTACTATTTAATCAAGTTGTATGCTTATATATTTTTTATGCTAGTGTTAAAAGGTACTTCCTTAAAAAGAAGTACAGTTATATATCCATTTCCTGGACTTATTCATTAGACTAACTTCCATTTGCTTCATTTATGGGACAGGAAGTGGAATTAGCTCTGATCTGTGTCAGGTATGGAGCTGTTCGCAGAGAGTTTCCTTAAGCCCCACTTAGGTTTGAGGAGTTAAAGGGAGAACATTCATATTTGTATAACAGAGAAATGTTGTGTTTTGCTGGTTAAATTAGAGGCTGGCCCTGTGTTTTAACCCTGGAGACTTTACTGGTGCTTATCCAGAACAGAATAACAACAATGATAATAACATAAATGAAAGACTATTTTCCATTTTCATTAACTGAGCATGTATGAAATTACTTCTTAAGGTGTAACATCCACTGCCTGACATTCACAGCCACTTCTACTCATAATACACGAGGATATTTAGATTTTACGTTTACTTCCTTCCTTTTTGGGACCGTATTCTTACTCTGTGTAATCGGAGCTGCTGAAACTCGATGTGGACTCCCTGTCATCTTCTCCCTCTCTGTGACTTCCTGAGTGGGTTTTTTCCACCCAACGGTGGTCGTCCGCGAAAGCCATTACGCTTCGATAAACTTTTCACTCGTCTAAAAGCTCGAAACGCCCCGAAAAGTCCGGAATTTCCCTTAAAGAAGCGAGCCGCCGCGTCCCTTTCGCCATGTTTTAGCGCTGAGGAACGCTAACGGGGGGTCACGTGACGCGCAGGCACGCGATCTGATTGGTCGACGGTGCTGTTGCCCTTGACAACGCAGAAGCTACCGGAGCGCTCTTCTGCTTAAGCTAACCCGCCTGAAAGTTTGATGGAAAGCTGAAGTTTCCGTGTAGGGACGATTCCCCGCATAGTTCAGTCCCGTTTAGGGGATTAAAGCTGATTCAAGTTTTAGTTTAAGACACCAAAAAGGCACGAGCCACTTAGAGCGAGGCGGTTTGGTTGCAGCACGAGGTTTGAAAGTCTGTAAATAAAGATAGAAAAACGCGGATTAAAAGGTCCTGCTAAGCTTGTTCATTCATGAACAACAGAAATATTATTAACTCTTTCTCACTGCTCCATTTAAGGCCCCAGGCTGCTCAGAAACAGTGTATGTTGCATTCAGGGGCATTTCCATTTAGCTGCACGGCGTTTGCACGCCCCCGTCGACGTGCACGAGCTTTTTAAATCTCCTCTGGCATTCAGCTCAATTTTGGCAAAGTGCCACCGCCCAAACAAAACCAGCAAAATGCAACAGATCAACTTTAAATATCTGACATCTGCATAAAAAGCGTGCACACAAGATCTGCCTGACCTGTAGAGCAGAACGCTGCGAATGGAGTCAAAATCCTCCAAGTTCTTAGAAAACGAGCCTCCATCTATAGAGAGGTTGAACATCATTTGTGTCTCATGGTTTTTCCTGGTGATATACAGGCGGAGGTGCGTTTGAGAGTCCGGAGAAAGGTTGTTTTTCCCCCCCAACAGTCCCTCTCCGGCAGAAGCGTGCAGGCTGAGTGGGTTCCTGCCC